ACACACACACACACACACATACACATAAACAATACGTGTACAAATACACACACACACACAAACACAACACGTGCGCGCGCGCGCACGCATACACACACACACACACACACACACACACACACACACAAACAGAGAGATAAATCCCGTGCAAGTGGAGTGCCACATATACTCCATCAAATCTCAGGCCAGGATAGAAGTGACAACTATAATTCTCTGTACTAACTCGTCTTCCTGGGAGTTTCATTTTGAGACAGTACAACTGAGGAGGCTTCTATGTACAGTTATCAATAGTCCCCTGCCGACCCAGAATAAACAACAGTCAAACAAAATTAACCCTACCCCCTCCCCACCCCCCCAAAAAATAATTTAAAAAACACCAAAAAAATCAAACAACCGAGCCCAAACAAACAAACAACAAATTACAAACACACCTCAGGGCATAACAGGGTTGTCCTTGAAATTGCTTGAAAGAAAAACAATTTTAAAGAATGGAACAAGGAAAAATTATAATTAAAACGTGACTTATCTTGGTATATTTTTCTCACTGGAGTCTTCATTTACAACCCCCCCCCCCAAAAAAAACCCAACAACAACAACCTAAATTTTAATTTTCCACGTGGGTGGTTGGCGGGTGCTCTGATGTGGTCTGCTTCTTCGTTCATATGAAACATATATCGTCCTTATTTCTCCTTCTTCTTTTTTATGTTTATTACTCTCTGGTATTTCCTCTAATCTTCTGCTGGCGCTCACATTATGACCTTATGCAGTTGCGAGCGCCGTAAAACCTCTACTGAAACTAAATCAAACTAAGCATCTATGGTCAGTATCTCACCACCTTCTTTTTATGTATGTTACTCTCTTGTAACGGCTCTAATCTTCTGCTGGCGCTCATAATATCACCTTATGCAGTTGCGAGCGCCGTAAAACCTCTACTTAAACTAAAACTAGTTCCGTCCGCCAGGCCCAGGGCGTCTGCTGTAGCTGAGAGACTGTGGAGCCCGGCAAACGTCACTGATGTCGACGACGCTCAGCTGAGACTGGACCAACACAGGTGTCGTCTGCTCAGGTCAGTAGAGAAATGTGAAGCGGCTGACAAAGTGAATTACTTCTCGGATTGAATCCCTACAGAAATAAGTACATCTCGCTTATAGGTGATATATTTACAATTTATACGTATGAAATAATAAAAGGCATGTTGTATTTTAATTATGGTATCAATAGGAAATCTACAATTAATTTGACCCTAGTGTCGATTTTTGGCCAATATCTCCATTGATTCTGGAT